GTATAGCATGTTTTGCGTATTTGCTTAGTCTTTTTAAGGCATAAAGAAGACAAATGTTTTCCGTTTTCACAAATCACAAGTATACACATTAGTATATATGGCTTGCACTTATTGATAGTTGCGTTTCTGTCGGTCAGGTTGGTGCAAAGTTACTTAAATTCTCAAGGGTAATATAGACGGAAAGAATATCATCGGAGGAAAAGACTTCAGGGAGGCTATCACCATTGTTGCCCCGGCTGAGCTAGTGTCCTAATGGAACACAATCGTTCAGCTAAAGGTAGCTGTGATATCAGCTTGGAAGTTTTCTGCACTCCTCAGTGTAAAGAAAAAGATTTGGATTTTCAAAAAAACGTTAGCCTTTTACTTCTTTTATATGTGCCAGACGCTTGACTAGATCATCAAAAGAAGAATTTCGAACAGACTACTGCAGAATTTATTCACAGTTGCCCACTTCTCTGGCTTTATAGTGAAGATGAAGCCGTTCAGCAAATATTCTGAAAAAATAGATGTGGATTGGGCATACGCTGAGGAGATCTCCGAGTGACATCATGGGCAATGCAGGCCATCGCTCGAGTAGAGGCATGATGTAAAACGAAGAGTGGGGCGTAGTTGGTCTGAGGATGACATGAAAGAGATCATGTGGTGAGCAGGAGATGACAGATTATGTGCAGTCATGGAGCCAGCCAGCTCAATAAGACAGCAGAAAAAAGAGCAAAGTGAGGATGTGTTATTGAAGCCCCATCTATGCCCCACTTGGAAGCGAAGGGAATAATAATTGTAATCGTCTTCAAACAGTTAGTTTGTTTTCGCTAATATTCAATGCTTTGCTTGAAGAGACATGAACCCCCTACTGATTTGGAGGCAACTAAGCAAATAACAAAAAATCACAAATTTCAATTTATTATATTCTTGATTCATACCTCTGTATCTGTTTATGAGGAGAAGCAACATCTCAGTGATAATAATGTGTTGCATTGCCTTATTAACTGCGATGTCAAGTAACATCTGACAGATTAATAATCTCTCTCCTTATGATACACCTATATGTATGTATAAATATTTATATGTCTGTGGTAGAAGTTGTTTTCAGCTAATGTTGTTGATATCAGAGGGTGAAGTAAGCAGAGATGTTTACAAAAATAGAGTGAAAGTCAAGAAACAGCAATTTCTGTGTTTTGTTGTCTTTCTGTCGTGGATTGCATTCATGCTTCAACGTTACTGTATCAGAATTCTTGTTGTTTATCACGTCTGATTTGATATAGCACTAATTGATGAAAACAAACATACCACTTTCATTGACTGTAGAATCATGAATTCACTGGAAACAAGTGTTTACGTTTTCTATCACATTTTAACTATAATCCATCTTGACAGTTTGTTGTCTAAAGGGAGAGACTGACTGTGGATGGAAGTTAGGAAAATCTTCTATCTAATGTGACTAGTCGTAATTCTTATCTTGGAATCTGTCTGTCTGTTTATCTATCTTATCACAGCTAAACGACAACCAAAGTATATACAGCATGACACACCCTCATTTCTGAGGTAGAAATGTATTACAGCAGTAAGTCATTCTACACTTGAATAAAATAATACTGTAAATTTCACCAATTGTGGTTTTTTTTTTCAGATGCGAACGGCACTTGCGTGGACTTGTTCTGTCTTCCCATGATTACTGTAATATTGACGAAACTGCGTGATGGAGAGTAAATCGAATAGGTATCATCTGAACATCAATTACTTAGGGGCTTGATGTCGGTCTTTCTGCAGGCATAACTCAACTCAACCTCTTCTACTGCAATTTATTATTTCATAAATTCTGCGCACATACCTTCTTTATTGTTTGCACCCGCCGCCACCCAGTTATTCTTCCCCAGACTTCTCAAAAAAGACTATATCACACTGCGTAGAAGACTGAAGGCTGTAACAGGTAGGATTAGATGTGTGTGTGTGTGCCTTTGACTCAACTACTAACTGGTATTATTGTTTTTAATAGGCACTTCGATCCAGTTCTTGCAAGCAGCTACTTGGCTAAAGTTATCTTGTCTGATACCGAACATCCTCACTACTTTCAAGGGTGGGTGTAATCAGTGGTGTAAGAGAGAAACAATATAAGTGCTTCAGAAAAAGTAAATCAAGAAATAGGGTAAACTAGACGTAAGTTAAAGGGTGAAGAATGACAGGAATAATAATGATGGTGAAGTAATAACGATGATGTGGTGTCAAATGAAAAGTACTGTTTGTGAACGATTATCAAATATCAAATAATAATGAATGCAGTGAAGTGGAATAAACAGGGTTGTGTAAAAATACAGTAACAAGTTAGAAAAATGCACTGCATAAACCTTAGGTAATAGAAATCATAAGAAAAGTCATGAAGCCGTAAAAGGTCAGACATGAACGTCTGTCAGTGAAAGAAATGAAAAGAACTACGATATGAATCTACAGTTCTAATGTTTATGGGGGATTTATTGGCCTTATTTTAGTGTTTGTAGGATTTGTAATTGTAGAGCCCGAAGTAGAATTTATCGAAACCAATTGTTCACTCTGACTATTTCTGTTCTGAATAAATTATATTAAAAATAACCTCGATTGTGTGTTGGTAAAGCGTTTCTTGACATATGTACAACCTCAACATATTTAGTGAATGGTGTGACTTATTTCGTCAGAATTTCCACCATAAAATGAATGAATTATTAACAAATAGAGTGGGTGGGATTTTCCTTGCATGCAGAGAAGTACACAAGAATACGCTTAACCTGTGTGCAGGTCATTAGATAACCAACTGTTGGAATTTCTAAGATACGTTTGAATTCAACACTACTGACTGTTTAATTTTTCCCGTCGATTGATTGGACCGAAGTGCTCGGTCTCAGGTCGACATGTCGGCTTCTTGTGCAGATACTTCGACGATTTCTGGGCATTTAACTAGAATGTAATTGGTGGGTGGTGACTAGCAGTAAAATAATCCAGGATGCGCATTTCGTCCTATTTGGAAGTCGTCATTTAATTAAATGACAAGACATCATCGAAGCATCTGCACAATAAGCCGACATGTCAACCTGAGACCGAGCACTTCGGTCCAATCAATCGACGGGAAAATCTAAAATTAAATCAAATTAATGTGACTCGTTGCACAAGAGGTGGCTCTCGTGGTCAAAGTGGTTTAGTAGATAACGCTTTGGCGTTTGGAAATATGAGCACTGGGTTCGAGCCTCGGCAGGAACATCATCACTCACTGGGAAATGCAGGTATATCCAGCGACGAGTCCCAAATAGGACGAAATGCGCATCCTGCATTCCACTGCTAGTCACCATCCACCAAAGAAATTTTACTGACTGTTTGTTTGGAAATCTACTGCACTCAGCACAAGGAACGAAATTCGGATTCGTCAACACCAATTTCAAGTCAGTCACTTCTTCTAAATCGGTCAGAAATGTGGTATGCGCGTCACGGTAATCGTTTACAACGAGTTTCCAGTTTTCCGCATATGGATTGCCAGAAAGAACTAGTGACCAGAAAATATGGGAAGTAACCAATCAAGAATCTGTTGCTCAAAAAATATGCTGAACAGAATGAAGACGGACCAGCCATACCCTGAGGATAGTGTTGGATGACATTGTGCTCTAGGCACTTGCATGTTTGGAACCCAAATGGGAAACGACAAAGCATGCATAGGCTCGAGTGTGACATGGAGGAGATCATTTCTATAGGTGATGTGAGCCTATGGGGAATCGTGGAGACATACTGTCGAGGCCATATGTTCCACTAGGAATCCTTGGGAATAATCATAATGAACTCTAAACTTACATTCTTCATAATTTTGCTAAGTATCTGTCAACTTAAGATGATACAGAAACATTTTCATAGGTGGCTATTTTTTCCAAAACTTGTGTTATCAATTTGTTATTACTTGTTCATGTGAAACCGGGTGCATTATTGCCGTACGAAAGTGCTAGGGAACACCAAACAAAATGGCTGGCTAGCAAAGGCAGAACACCGGCGTGTGTAAATAGTTCAGTAACAGAAAATCTGATGGAGAATTCATCATGGCCATCATACAGGCCTATCACAATAATGATAACTCTACTGCCTTTCTTATCCAATCTTCCTGTTTACTTTTTTTTTTTGACGGTTTCTCATCCGAACTTCCTGCCTATTTTTTTATTATTTTATTTATTTTATTTTATTTTATTATTACCGATCTTCCTGTTTATTACACTTTGCAATTTTATTAATTTCATCCTTAACCAACCGGACATAGAATTTTCTGGAACTTTCTCTCCCACTCACTACAATATAAATATGCGAATGTACAACCTGGCTTGTTGTTGGTGACTTCGTCAAAAAAACAGTTTTCTTCTTCACTGCAGCTGTCTGTCTAATAATTTCAATGTCGAAGATTAAAAATTGCATAGGGAAGCAGAGTCTACAGCTAAACTTAAGAGAATACGGCAATTACGGGGTTGATCAGGAGCTGACACCAGTTAGAGAACCAATGGAAAACCAGCTGGAAGAACCGGACAGCCGTCTCGTCCTAGTCTGAGACTATTCAGAGTACGCACTCAACACAGGAGTTAGAACCCAGTGGGCGGAATCGCAGAAGTTGGAATTCATGGATCATTACGTTGGAACCCAGTAGCATAGAAATCTGCGAACTCACATCGTAATCGGCAGGTCATGGGTTCGAGCCCTGTCGGTGGGTGCGTTCTGACGAAGAGTCCGAAACTAGTGCGAAACGATTGACTAGTACTGTCAGGTGGCTTTCCAACGGTTTTCTACCTGAAGCTAGCTCACTATCAACCCTGTAACCAATCAAATCCCTGCAAACAAACACTTGAAAATAGAAATTTGTGTATCTTGCAAGGTAGCTAAGACTATAAACACAAACTGACAGAACGTTAATATGAATAAAAGAAGGAATCTAGTAGACCAACTATTTCATCTATGCATAGACTGACTGTAGCATATGAAAATTTGATTCAAACCAGCAGAAAACTCACCTGTCTTCTCGCTCTGACTCTGTTAATCACTTTACGTAATTTTAAATTCTGTTGTGATTCATTCATGATAGCGGTAGTTGTAGCATTAGTAGCATAAGAATGTTGTGGATTCCCCGATGCTACTGTTCTTCTATTTAAGTTTATCTGTTGTCGTCCAACCACTGAAGATATACTGCCTTTTATGTCGTCTGTACGAAATAAACGCCAACTGATTTGACAATACATGACAGCAGTAATCAATAATGGGATCACATAGAATAGGATTAAATCAAACATATAAATTGCCTTGTAAGCGGTTCGTTTAAATGCAAATGTGCACTTCTCATATGTACCATACTCAGAGTGTTGTCTGATTGTTGTGCTCATAAATATCCAGGGCAGATTGTAAATCAACGTGAATATCCAAATCCCAGCGATGATTTTTATTGCTCTTTTAATCGTACACATATAATGTGCACGCATTGGATAGCATATTCCGACCCATCGTTCGACAGAGAATGCACAGATGGACAGTGCGGACGCGTCCACACTCAAATATTGTAAGCAGACACTCAGTTGACAGGCGAAATTCCCCAATGTCCAATGATTGTATGGCTGGTAGAATTCTTGTAGCATCAGTGTGGTGCTTGTCATGAGCACGAGGAGATCACTGGCGGATAAGGATACTAGATAACAGTTGGTCGGTGTATGCAGCTTAGGCGATAACGTCAACACCAACATGACAAGAATATTTCCAATGAAACCGACGGTGAGAATAATCACTAACGAAATTGTGCCGACAATTTTATATGAGCCAGAATAGTGGATCAGCGGGATCAAGGAATGATTTCTAAGGGGATCAGTATAAGTGAGATTAGCATCCATGCTTTGAAGAATAAATGTTCATTCACAGTTGAGAGGTGTTCGAGGATGAAATTTTGGTGAATATGTTGTCATTTTCAGTGGTAAGGTACTGCTTTTGATTGTTTTAATATGATTATGGAATTTCCAATTTTCAGTAACTGTTCTGCTAAGTGGATTCACTGTGACATAATCAAAAGAGCTGTTTTGTCATTGGTTGTTTTTTAGACGAAATCTAATTGGTTGAATTGTAAACTTCAATTCTTTAAGTATTCCCAATATTAATCATTACAACAAGACATGTAAGCGAAAAATAATGTTGTTTGCAATTAGATCTTCTCCTTCTTCAGGCTTTACACTCTAAATTACATTCATTATACTCGATGAGTAGGCTGGCAAAAATGAAATGTTGATAAAATAATTTAATGATGCACACCCATGGCTCATTTCCACCTGTAAAGTAGAAGAATACGACGGTAGATTACACTTCTTTGGTGTCGATTTGAAGATAAGAGTTGATGCATCACCTACGTCTGTATGAGAATATAAACGTTTTTTTCAGTTTTGTACCAATTCGACACACAAAATTAATTTGGTCAGATGTCACTCACGGATAGAGCTAAAAGGATATGCACTGATGACTCCCAATTAGAACACATCAAAAATGCGTTGTTCCAAGTGGGTTTTTATAAAAAAATTATGCCCACGTCTTGTTTTTTTTATCTGTCTTATAACAGGTGTTGAACTAACACTTTGAAATATGTTCTTTTTAGGTTATAACTGTGTCGCTTTTGCAGTCTAGTCAGCTGCAGCTGTCTCCACTACATAGGAAAACTATACATCAGAAATAGAAGACAGAATCTAACAGGACTAAGAAAAAGCAGAAGTAATAGCAGACTACTTCTCCAAAGTCTTTACCCAAGAGTCATCACTGCCCATATCACCATATTTGATAAAAAGAAACCGAAACCTGGTAAAAAGAAACGACTATTCCTGAAACTGCATTTATTCAAAGGGGTTGAGGCTAGTAGTGAAATATTACATATAAGATTATCTAGAGAGAGTGATAAAACGGACTATACTACATCCAGCCTTTGTTGGTTATTTCCCAACTGACAACAAATTATGATCACTTAAGCGAAGGGCAAGCTGCCTAGCTGTACTACTTCTGCGTACATTTATGGATTTATTTGTTACTCTGGAGAAAACTATATATTGGTCAAACAACTCGACAGCTAGCTCAGCAAACGCATCATTACTAAGCATCTTCCTTCGTTCATGATGCTGTTTGTAAAAGGTAGATGAATAAAATCTATAAGAAGTTTTATTTTGTCTGATTTGATTGATAGTGATAGTAGTCATCAAGTGGACAGAAGAAGTGCCTTCGAAGGTTATCTATCACATATTCCATCGAAACTTTGGAACGGAATTTTGACCCCTCTTTTTCACACACAGCCGAAGCTATGAGAATTCGAGAGAACAGTGCTAGTATCTTTGCATACAGAAGACGTTTATTCTACCATTGTCTCTCCCTTGCTTGGCCTAGGTAAATTCTAATTAAAAACTTTCCACCTACAATTTCTTATTTTCCATCCCCTTCGTAATTTAATGATAAATATTTAAACTCTGAATATCTGTTCACTTCACCTTTAGTATTATGTAACTTTTGAGATTTGGCCTAATTATTTATTTACATATTGAATTCTCCTCGTATGCAAATAGTGATATATATTATTACCTTCGTTATTCTTATCGCCCCTTGCATAAAACTCATCATCATTATTTTTGCTGTCATTACATTAGTATCGTTAATGCTGACGTACAAAACACTCAGAACTTATCACCGCTATCATTATAATTATTTAGTCCACAATCCCACGGCCATTGGTTAAATTTCCTCTTATTTAACGCTATGTAAATTAGAGTAAGGCCTGAAAAACTTCCAATCACCTACATGTCTTGAATTATGTTTGTTTTCAACAATATCTCAGGTTTGATCATGAATCGATATCAGTAAAATAACCATTGGAAACCACCTGGGAGTACTGCCAAACAGCTCTTCCCTCCATCCTAGTGCTTGGGACTTATCGGCAGTACTCACCCACTGGCAGGGTTCAAACCAAGGACCTTTCGATAACCAGTTGAGCTAGTAGACAATTCAGCCACTGGTATCCAACTTCTTTGTGACAAACTCATGAATTTTAACTTCCACCATTTCGTTATTTTAGCGCAACTGGCACTTGCCAATTTCATCAGTGGCGAGTATTTGTCCTTAATCTGCCCGATTCGGTGGACTTCACAGGCCACGAATTCATACTAGAGCTCCAAGCAACTTCGTTCTGCAGTCGGTTACTAATGGTCTACTAGCTCACTCACCTTGTAATCGGGAGGTCGTATGTTTGGACCCAGAGGGTGGGTGCGTCCCGCCGACGAGTTTTGAACACTAGTACGACATGGCTGTTCAGTACTCCCTGCTTGTTTGTAATAGTTGATCCTGTAACTGACATCAATCCGTGAACAAACTTAATATAACCTCCATGTTCTCAAGGATCACAATCAATGAAACTACGGTGATCATTTGTCAGCACTTTGATCTTGGCAAACTCCCAATGTTGGAATTCAAACGCCTACTGCTAATATCTGTACTATCTATGTAAAATTCCAGTTTAATAACACTCTCCATAGCCAAATACATAGCGTATACCTGACGAAACAACTTCGTACTGTTGGTGTGTCGATGACACAATTGCAGTTTGCAACAATGAAAATCATGCTTTCTACTAGCCTACTCGGATTACTCAACGAGGTACATAAAAAGTACTGAATTTACTATGGAACAAATGTGCATCGGTGGCACAGAGGTTGAATGCCCGCAAACCATGCAGATGGTTCAGGGTGCGATCCCAGGCCAGCCCACTTTTCTATCTTGCTAAGCCACTAACAAGACTGGTAAAGAGGGAAGTTTGAGAATGAGGCCAGCAGCTCCATCCCGTTAAAATGAACACCACTGCTACTATCCTGAAACTCTGTTTTCCTTTGGGAACGTACAGGAACAAAAAGGAACATGAAAGTGGTTAAAAATCCCCTTTCCAAGCTTGCTTTGCCATGCAAATTTTGTACACTGACGAACAGTAATCAAAACTCTGTTCTACTGACTCAAGAAAATATCCTGTACAGAAAATGAGAGAGAGCAAGATGTTAAATAACAACGGATATACCCAGAGATTCAATAACAAGTACGGAAGCTGTGAAGGCTCAAATGCCATTACAAATCACACAGGGGGGAGGGAAATGCCCACCTTAATTCAACTCGATTTTTGAGGTGACTATATTGCCAGAACAGTCAACAGAAGATTGAATACATCAACAACCAGACAGAACGTATCCTGCAGCTAAAGTTGTTCAGATTCATTGGACAACGTGGTCATCTGTGCAATCAAAAGTTGATACATACTCTTCTCGTGTCAACTCTAAATGTTTATACAAATTTACATGTGCGTGAGGTGGGAGTAAGTTAGAATGGGAGGGTAGAAAGAAGGAGGACACACGTCCGATTTTCTGAAAACGTATGAACGAGTCAACATCTCTCAAAAAACCAAACGCTTCGAACAGTGCTATTGCCCAGGCATCTCACTGATACGGATCATGAGGTGGTGAACATCGTAAGATACTTCAAAAGGTTCAAGGGGAGAAAGAGTTCAATTCTTCTCAATCTTAGCGTAACGCTGAAAATTCCACTCTATTTGATTATTATTGTTTGGAATGAAGGGGTTATTATTATTGTTAATACTATTATTACCATTGTATGCATACATTGATATTTTTGTTTGAATTTTAACTCTTTAGATAAGTTCTTTATTTTTGTTTCTGTACACAGAGTTAATAATATTATCTTTAGGTTGTAAGCAGGTGATGATGCGAAGCCAACGAAATACTGAATGATTGTAGCATTTTATTTTGCAAAAACCATTGTTGCTCCTACTCTAATTGATTTATGTGTGTTGACTTGATTAAGACATGTGAGAATGAAATTTAGTCGGCTAACTCTTCTTCTCTCGTAAATTAACACTCAGTCACAACAAAGGTTATCTGTCAGAAGACACAAAACCTTACCACCACTGATGAATAATTTAAATAAGTTCTTTCCATAGTGAAACTCTGCTGAAGCGATATTGTGTCTAGAAGATGTACAAGGACAGCTACGCAATAAAATAATCAACCAGCTCCAGCTAAGAGAACACAACTAAGTCAAAATCCCCCACCTGAGCTACAAATCTTCCTCATTAACAACTGATTCCATTACTAACCGATAATTAAATGTTTACAAAGATAATGACACAACTTAACTCTGAATGTTTATTATCTTAACTAACACTTTCTGATATCTTTTCACTCTCTTCTTTCAAGTACTAAAACCTATTTTCTAATCAACTTTCGCCTTTGTCTTGTTATGACTGATCTATTGTGTTTCATACTCTATACACAGATCGTGTGTATTTAGCAGCGGACGTAAAACATGGTAGGTAGAGTACTCAGCTGAAGTATTGTATCATTTCTTAAAAGTTTTTCGAGGTTTCGTTAACAGTGGTGTTAGTTTTATGGGCTGGTACTACTGGCTTCAAGCCCACTGATCCTTTTCCTCTCTGGCTTATCACCGAACGGCCGGTTCATTGGTATGTCGAATGGGAATAGAATCGGGGCTATATGTGAAATTGGTTAACATTTTTCCGTTAAAACACTAATAAACATCCACATTTATTTACTAATATACATGCTTACGCATATATATGGATCGTTATATAGACCTAATTTTTCTAATATACTACATTTATCTTTACAGTGATGTTTGCATTCCCCCCTTCCCCACACCTATAACCTTAGAACACAATTGACCTTTGACTGTTTCAACTTATCAGTGTAATAGTATATCTCAAGGCCCTTTGAAGCATATATATATATATATGGAATTTCTATCAATCCTTTTGGCTGTTTATTCGAGACAGTAATATCTCTCTACGTAAACGGTTTGTCTTCTTGTGTCACGTGTTCGGAGGCATCGTATCGTGTCGTTGCTGTCATTGCCAATAGGGATTAGAACAGTAGGCTCGTGAATCCACAAGGTAAGAAGTTCGTTGGCTCAAGCTACCAAGTGTATTGATGGTCACATC